CTTGCTGTCTCTTTTGACGTATCCTGGAACAGGTAAAACCAGATAATTTACTTTGCATGTCTATTTACAACTTCATTACGAGTAAATGAAAATAAAACTCTTTGATTATATCTGGTATTGCATATGCATTAACTTTACGAGTTTTCAATCTAAAAGCAGTGTAGATAAAAAACCCACAGTTATTGGTCAGATAAATAACTTTCATTTTACAAACACCACATAAAAGAAGCAATGAAATACAATGTCAGTCCTGTTCTTCCTCTAAGTTTTCATTAATAGTAAATTCTACATTAAGAGTCTCTACTGCATTGAGCTAAAGGTCTTCTTTTATTCACCTACCTTCTTCTGCAAACGCACCCTAATACCACCAGGATGACGAGGAAGAGCGCTGTGCCGGCTCCAATTATAATAGTATACGTCATATTCTCTGAAATGATATATAGAAATTTAGGTCGACATTTTCGACGAAGACCAGTGTTAAGATAAGCTTGAAATCCTATACATATATATCATTTGTATATAAATCAGCCAAATGTATATAAATCAGCCAAAAATCAGCCAAAAAGCACACAATGCGTGTGCACGTTTCTAAGTCCACCACATCACAGTGTCTAAATGACCAAATATTTTACCTTTTAAAAACTCTAACACAGTCCCTCCAAAAGACTTCTCGGCATTATGCGTAGTTGACTGTTGGTGGGTTTTGGTCACACAAGGAGGCGTTGTCCCTCCAGACTGAGTATGAGGCACAAATGTTACGGTTGGTTTAATTTTCTTGATTGCGTTAGAGAAGCTTGGATGCATTGCGAAGTGCGTGGTCCAGCGTGGTTCTGACGTCGTTGTCAATTGCTTGTTTTTAACAAAAGAGTCTGTTGTCTCAGCACTACTTTTGGTTGTGGCTACCTCCAAAGACATCGCTGTTTTTAACCACGTCTTTGATGATGTATCCATATTATCTTCATCTACAGCAGCTGTTGACGGTGCTGTCACGCGTCCATCCCCACTTGTTGAAATCATTCGTGATAACGTGCTTGTTTCCTGCAATGCACTGGTTGTCTCATTGATTAAATCATCGTTTGTTACATATGACTTAACAGAAAACGTATGTCTTGTCGTTGTCAACGGTAATGTGACTACCTTTACACTTGATATTGAAGAAAACGTGATTTTATTCGCAACAGTCGCTTTAAGCCTGTCTTTTATGTCTTCTTCAGAATTAGGCGTCAATGATTTTGTGTCTATGTCTGATATTGATGAGAAGGTCGTGGTGTTAACGTCTAAGGTGCCCAGTGCTGGCTCCGAAGTTGTCTCAATTGTTGCAGTTGGTGACACTGAAGCATAGCGAGCGCCTGTTGTTGACGGGAATGATTTTTCATCTCCGTTCGTTGTTTCAGCTAATGTGGTGATTATTGAGTTCGTTGATGTTGGTGCCGATTGTGCTGCAGGATCTTCTGTTGATACGGTGTCAGTGTAAGANATAAATTATATTATAAATTTAACCACAGACCCAGATTACAATATTTTGTCTATGTTGTAATTAAAAGGTCTATGACTTAACCACTTTAACCTCCGTCACATCAGTCTACACCTTCCAGAAGACAAAGTTTTGTCACTGGTCTCTTGAAGATTCCATGTTGTGTTCTAACTTGGACTGATTTGAGACAATTATTAACTTAAAAATTCCGCAATACAGTTTCTACAGGTATAGCCTGCGAGGTGAAATTCAAGGAATTATCCAGCGCAGTACAGCGTAGGGCAAATGATGCACAACTTACAATGTAGACTCCATATCCCTCCAAACAAATGTCTTGTCATTCTATATACTTGAACTGGTTTGTTCATGTCATCATCCTTCCACCACATGAATCGAAGTACGTCACAATAATTCTCGTTCACCTTAACTTGTAAAAACATCCCTTCAATATCAGCCATAAAGTAACAGGGTTATGTCTAAAACGCAGTAAATTTTCAATCAGTTTGTTTGTTAAGGCTGGGCCTTGATATATTGCAGCATTCACGGAAATGCCTTTGTGCTTGGCTGCACAGTCGTAAACAATACGTACTTTGTCTGGTTTTCTGGCGTGTAATACTGGATGGTTGGCCAGATACCAAACATGACCATCATCTCTACAAGCCTCTTTCACTTCTTCTGCATAACCTTTGTCTCGTAGTTCTACCATACTTTCAACATACTTTTCTTTTAACCACTTGTCTTTCTGTAACCTTCTTTTGAGGCACTGTAAATGGAAATTTGCCACAGACTGGTTATCTGGGAGATTTAGTGGCTGCTCTTGGAATGGAATGTCCATGCTGTAATGTTTTTCTTCTTCATCAAAGTGCAATGAATTTTCCCAGATAGTCATAACCTTCTTGTCATTGACAGACATAGCTGAAAAATCTTCATCATGTCCATCTAGCTGGCACAAGTTCTTGATCTGGTCCTGGGGTTCATTGGAAGTGTTCACAAAATAACTTGAAACATTTTCTCTTGACCTTTCTCCAATTGGACCATTGATTGTCCATCCCAGTGCTGTTCTCACTGCATATGGCATTCCTGTCTTTCCTTCTCGGATCTCTCTTGGTTTGAGTAATTCTGGCATGTCTTGTCCAATAAGAATGTGCACTTGGTCAATTTCTACATCTGGTAACTTTATGTCCTTCAAATGTTGCCAGTTGTCCAACTCTTCCTGAGTAACAATTTTATCAGTGCCTATATTTAGCTTGGGCCTAGTCAATATATCTGTCATGTCATATATCAAAGTTTCATCTGCATTTGTCACCTCCAAGTTTACAGATTTACTGAATACTCTCTTTTGGTGACCAAGTGTGTTTAAAACAATGTTGTGAATTTTTCTTGTAGATTCCAAGTTCAATGACCTCGTTAACTCTTCTGAACAGAAACTTTGAGTTGAGCCACTATCTAAAAGAGCGTATGTTTCAACAAATTTGGTTTGAACTTGCCCACGGACCTTCACACTAATGATGGGAAGTGCAATCTTCTGCTTGCCCACCCCGGCCCCTGTGGCATTACAAGCAACTTCTTCAGTATCCATTTCATCTATATTCTGGTTTGCATTTCTCTGGGGTAGATGTAGAAATTTTGTATGCTTCTGTTCACACTCTTCTACAGAGCATACTCGGTTCACTGGACATCTTAAGGCCACATGTCCTGTTCTCAAACAATTGAAACATAAATTCTTTTGTTTTGCTAAAGTTAGTCTATCTTGTACTCTCAAACCTTTGAATTCTTCACAGTTGAATAAACTGTGATGTGAGCCACAACAGGCACACAGTGGACTGTCGG